CCTCCCCCTGCCGCTGCCTCCCGAGTGCTGGGATTAAAGGTGTGCACCACCAATGCCCCGGCTTCTTCTTCTTCTTCTTCTTCTTCTTCTTCTTCTTCTTCTTCTTCTTCTTCTTCTTCTTTTTCTTTTTAAAGGTTTTATTTATTCATTATGTATACAACGTTCTGCTTCCATGGATATCTGCACACCAGAAGAGGGCACCAGATCTCATAACGGATGGTTGTGAGCCACCATGTGGTTGCTGGGAATTGAACTCAGGACCTCTGGAAGAGCAGCCAGTGCTCTTAACTTCTGAGTCATCTCTCCAGCCCGTCATAAGAAATTCTAAACGCTTAAAGTTAATTTCAGTAGTTAAATTGGAAGATATGAGAGTAGTTGAAATACTCTCCATAACTCTCCCACATTAGGTTCCTAAAATGTGGTTCTCACTCAGGAGGTGTGGAATGGGCCTAAACACAGTCAGAGATGATTCTGGAATTCAGCAAGGCTTGACAACTGCTGCACTTAGCTCCAGGACAGAGATAATGCGGCTTCTATTTAAAAGGACACCTCTCCAGGAATGTCTGTCATGGGTGACAGAATGTAGGGGAAGACCCATTTAAGGTTAGAGATAGAACCTAGGACCTTGCACATTCTCACTGAGTTTTACCGCAGACATTTTAATTACTGTTCTGTTGCTGTGAGGAGACATCACCACCAAGGCAATGTATAGAGGAAAACATTTAATTGAGGGCTTGCTTACGGTTTCAGAGGATGAGTCCACGAACATTAAGGCCAGGAATCTGGCAACAGGCATGGCACTGGAGTGGTAGCTGGGACCTTACATCCTGGCTGGCAGAATGCACGGTGGGTAGGGGGAGCACAAGTCTGGGCCTGCTATGGGCTTTTGAAACCTCAAACCCCACCCCTAGTGATATGTCTCCTCCAACAAGGTCATACTTCCTAATCCTTCCTAAACCAACCATCAACTGGGAGCCTATGAGGCCATTCTCATTCAAACCACTACACAGAGTCTTTCTCTCCTCAGTTTCTAAGAGACACTGAAAGTTTGGGTGAGCCCCCCTTTACCTTCTGTAGAGTGGTTGTTAAGTAACCAATGAGCAGGAAGATCCCAAGCCTTCTATAGTAGAGACCCATCACTTCTCTTGGAGAAGTAGCCACACACCATTTTTTTTTCACTTGAAAAAATAAAATGTTTCCAGAGTCAGTTACTTGCAAAAAGTTTGCAGTGAACACAAGAAAAATACAGGCAAAAAAATTGGGAAATATCCCTAAGGAATGATTATCTTGGATTATCAATGTAGCTCACAGTTGGTAGGTAGCATGCTCATCCACTATTCATGATACCTGGGCACTCCCCTGCACACACACACACACACACACACACACACACACACACACCATGAGGTGGAGGCTGGAGGCTGGAAGTTCAAAATTATAAACAGCCATATAGCAAGTTCAAGACTCCTGTCTTTGGAAAAAAACGAAAAAGAATTCACCTGTTTTTCCCCCTGTGGCCAACTCACGACTGGAGAGGGTTTATAGGGAATGTCTTTCTCTCTTGATGGGATGTTAGTGGCTTTTCAGAAAGGTCATAATTCTGGAAGAGTGAGAAGATATTTAAAAAGATAGTCTAAGTTTACCAGTTCATAGCACTTTTTGTGAGCTAGTTAATGCAGGTGGATATGTGCAAAGCAACGACTATACCATCTGATGGGACATGCAGCTTTTGGACACACAAAACTGTCAGCCCAGGCTTTGGAACTGATTTAGAAAAAAAGCCAGCTGTTTTCATTTAACCTCTCGAAAAGGCTTGTGCAATGACTTCCCCAACCACAAAAGAAAAATACAATGACAGGACAAATTATTCTCCAAAGTGTTTCATAAGATGTGAACAGCCGAAACAGTAAAACTGGTGTCAAGATTAAATGTTAAATAGCTTCAAAATAGGTCTTAGTTCTTTGTATCTGCAGTTGTTTAGACTATCTTCAGAGAAACTTCTCAAGGGTTTCCTTATTTCCGTACTGGAAACAGTTGAGAACCTTTATAAGGCCAAGGTTACCAGGGCAGTGTCATTTATACAGTAAAAGAGAGAGAGAAACAAAGCAAAAGCAAATATTTGCCGACAAGGGAGGGCTGAAATAATGGTGCCTAAGCTCTGCAGAGCAGTAAATACATCTGACGGTAGACCTCTTTCATCCCCATAGCCGGAAGCCAAGAACACTTGTTCAGTGTACCTTGGAGAACTAGATGCTGTCAGTGGACCCTCCCACAAGACTCAGCAGTCAGCAATGGTCCTCTGTTCAGTGTACCTTGGAGAACTAGATGCTGTCAGTGGACCCTCCCACAAGATTCAGCAGTCAGCAATGGTCCTCTGCCGCCGACCAACCCTAGCAATCCTTTGAAGTCAGCTAGGCCCTCACTGCTATAACCCCACACAGTGTGCTAACAGAAAGCCACAGAAACCTAATAAAATAAAATGCACTTGGTTCCACGTAGGAACGTTAGCAGCTCACGATTTATATAGTAGCAGCAGTTACAAAAAGATGGGAAAGCATATGTCTAAGTCTGAATCGGGGTCCCGCAGTGTGATGATTCCACGAGGCAGCAACAATGGTTCTGGGAGGAAGAGCCAGCAGGACCCGAATAAATGAGAGGGGTGGAAACCTTTCCGGGGCAAGAAGTAAAACCAGAGGCAGTTGTTGCCCTTGCTATGTTCTTTTAGCTGACAGCTTGAACAGTGGTGGGTGGCTTCAGTGGACCCCTTTGACTGGGATTAGTGTCTAACTAGAAATACACCCGTCGAAGATGGCAATAAGCCCTCCCTGCACTCACACCGTTAACCCTCCTAACTTTCTCCCGCTAAACTGAAGACAGACTGGCTACTGAAAGGAGGCTAGCAAAAATACTGGCCTTGAACCAATGCTGAGTGTTTCCACTCTAGAGTGCTGCTCATGGTTGGAAATCGGCAGAGCTCTGGGGTCTCTGTCCCTGGCTGTGAGGAGGTGACTTTCCAGAGTGTGTATCACAGAAAGGGAGGATGGGTGCTAATGGGAGACCCCATTGCCTTCATGCAGAGACTTGGTACAATTTTAATTTGAGGAACATCTAGTTGCCTGAAAACGATTTGATGCGACTTGGCAAATGGTTTGAACCCCAGTCCCATGTAATCAAAAAGCTTCTTGTCCTGTCTGAAGTCTCCTCAAGGGAGCTAGAGGAGAGGTAGACAATTATTTGGGAAGTAGGAGGTATAGGTCACAGGTGAAAAGGTCTAAGCACTGGGCACATTATCCATGTAGCTTACCCCCAGGCACAAACCACATCAAAACCTGCTCAAAGACAACTCTGCTGAGGGTTTTTTGCAATTGTTTGTTAATGCAACAAACCAGGGTGATTCCCACGCTTCTTGGCCAACCCTGTCCGGAATCCACAGCCAAGAATATCTAGAAGACCAACTTCTGTACCTCCCAGTCTTCAACCAGGGAGTGTAGGAGGAGGGGAGCACACCTGTCAGTTTTCTTAGCCCGGAGTCTGAAGCTACATAGATGGAGAGGGAACACAGCAGGAAGGTCATTGCCCCAATCAGCTAGCAATTTGTCTTTAAAGTGAAGACATGCAAGACACCATGAAACTAAAGCCCGAAGTGCACCTACTTTCTTTTGAGAAAGTCCGAGGCTTTAAATGGCAGTTGACTTTGATCCTGCTTAATTGTGTAGGTCTTGAAAGATATCACCCCGCTACAGGGGAGCACATAGCGATGGGCTTTGGGATGGGGACCTGACAATAATAAGTCTGTGGTTCACGGCTTAGTTTAAAAAGTTGCTAGGAAGGTGGTCAAAGGTGGTTGCCGGGGGCCCTCTGGGAGGCATGCAGGTGGCTCACCCTCCTCCAATCCATCACCCTTCTTAAGTCATTATCTCTGTAGTCCCATTTCCATATCTGTAAATTGGAAAGATCTTTTAAAGCATCGTCTAAAATCTTATTGCTGTTATTTGTGACCGTGGGCAATTTAACTTTGTTTCTGTGATTTTAATGTAATTCAGATTTTCTACAGTATGTGTTTTGTTCTAATCAGGAAAAAAAAAGTAAATAACTATTGGTGTTACTCTTTTTTAAAAAGTGCGGGTCTCCATTTCCCTAACTTATTCGGTGGGAGTCTCTTTTCCCAAAGTGTGCAGTGCCCAGCGCTCCCTAGCGAGGCTCCCACGTGCTAGCCCGCGGCGGAGGCGGGGTGCGGCGGCCCGGGGGGCCTGCCCAGGGGGCCCGGAGCCCAGCCCCGTGTGTGTCCTCGGTCCCCAGGGCAGCTCCGGATCAGCTCCGGATCTCCGGAGGCAGCTCTTGAGGCGCTTCCTCTACCGTCCCCTCGGAGTGGCAGCCGGGAGGCATCTTCTTCCTCCTCTCCATCCTTGGCGAGGTTGGGGATGGTCCCGGGAAGCTGGGGACACTCTCTGTAGTAGCCGCGCCAGAACCATGTCGGCGGAGACCGCGAGCGGCCCCACGGAGGACCAGGTGGAGATTCTGGAATACAACTTCAATAAGGTCAACAAGCACCCCGACCCCACCACGCTGTGCCTCATCGCCGCTGAGGCGGGCCTCACCGAGGAAGAGACACAGGTGAGTCCCCAAGCCTAGCGCATCCCGGGGGACTGTGGTCCCCGCGCCTCTCGCGGGCCTCCACTGCACGGATCCCAGTCCATGCATCCATTACTCCGCAGCTCCCCGGGCGCCCAATCCACCTCCACCCCAACCCCATCCCACCACCGCTTTCCTTCTGGCTCTCCATGGCCTCCCAGAGCCAGGTCCATGCTTTCTTCTTCGGTGGTTGGAGCATCTTGTTGTCCTTTCAGTTTCCCAGCTCAGTAACTCTCTCCTTTGAGCTGGAGATCTTCAGGAAGGCTTATTTTCATCAGAGGTGTCAGAGTTGGAAGGGCCTTTGTCGATCAGCTATAAACTCAGCCCTTGGTTTTGTCAAACGGGGAAACTAAGGCGGGGGTGGCGGAACACCTGCCAGGGTTGTTAAATTGCTCTTCCCAGAACATCACCACATCGCGGTGCTGCCTGCATCTCCTCAGCTAC